TAGGATATTTTACCAGTCCAAATTAAAAAATTAAATAATTGAAAAAAATGTAAATATCTAATCCTCTGTTCTACAAAGAGATTCATGGGTTGTTTTTGACAAACTTATTTTTGTCTCATTTGAAAATCACAAGAAGTATCTGGATTTCTATACAGGGTGTCCTTTAATTCGATCGCCAAACTTTTACATTATAAATTGTTATGACAGTTTTTCATTTTGCCCGAAAACCTGGTTCTTTCGCAGTATTTTTTCAAGAGCTGTAATTCTTCTAATTACCATAATTTGTGTTATAAAAGCAAAACTTATATTTTCTATAAGAGACAAAAAAGAAATAACGTTTTCTTTATAAAGTAACTGTGAAAAATTGTATAAATATGAGGTACCAGTAATTTCTAATTTGATACTGTTATTTTAATGGATTAAAAAGAATTTTAATAACAAGGAATACCTTGTAGAAGTTTGGCAGTAGAATTAAAAGACACTCAGATGCGTCATTATAAGACACCTTTTCCACTAGATGTTTACGTTTCGAAACATTTTCCAAATTCGTTTAAATACCTACTTGACATAAAACAAATTTTTCTCATTTCAACTCATGTTTGTTTAATTTCTGTAGACTGTACAACGAACTAAGTAACTGTAATACCGTTTCTTATAGAAATGTATTCAACTTTGGAATTTATTACAAAACTTATACTATTCAATTCACTTTTGTAACCATGATGTAGACTGTTCAAACTTTTAATAAATTTTTGTACGCTAAGCTCGCATAAAGGCTGATAAGTGCAATATTCAAGCATATTAAACTAGAATTCTCCAGAATATTTGATGCTATGTTAATATTATACCTGCAGAATATTTTAAACTCTACCTCCTACTGTAAATATTAGTTTCTTCGCTTTAATAATGAAAATATTTGAAAAATAATTTAACAGACTTGAATATAGTAAATAAAAACAAATAAATGTCGTTTATACTTCACACAAATGTGGAAAATAGTATACATTTATAGGTATTTAGATAACAGAGCTTGGGGATATATTGTATGTTACAGCAATGTAACATTTTATAATGTTAATAACGTCAAACGAGCGTTAAATTAAATTATCTATCACATGACACAATAATTACAAACTGAATTTACTGAAATCTAATAATTGTGGTGATATTACAGCATTGTACTAGCTGTAAAATGGTTTGATGATACATCAATTCAATTGGAGTATCAATAAAACTCTACGGAGGAATATGAAAATATTTTTTTGCGTAATCTGGTTTTCTGTATTCGGGATATTCTGGATATGAAATATGATTATATACAAATATTTGCTATAATATGACAATATCGCGCTTTTAGATTGTAACGGTTTTGACATAACACTGTGCAAACACACTGGACCCACGATAACGTTCTCATTAATGTAAATAAGATAATTTATTTATCGTATACAACATCACATTTTTGATTTAATTAATTTGTATTGATATAGGGTACATACACACGATATTTGCGGTACCTGTTTTACAAAAAAATTACTAATTCATTCATCTATCTAAATTGATTTATTTTGAATAACATTTCATCATCAATCTTTATACGATATACGTATCAATTAATATAGTACAATATTAAAAACGATGAATAATGAATGAAAATTATATGAATAAAAATGTTGCATGTATATCCTTAATTAAAAGAAAATATTGAAAAAGAGTTCATAAAGTCAAGAATACGTTATTTACAAAATTTTGAAATCCGTATTAATATCTTTTTGTGAAACGCTTAAATTGGATTCCTCGTTTTCTGTAAAATAATGCGATAGTTTGAATAATTGGTTTTCCTATCCAGGTGGATTTTTTATTTCAAAAAATAACTATTTGTCATATAAAGTTATGCTCTACGGGTTTTCTTTTCCAAAAATTTTAAAAAATTTAGTTTTTTAATCTTATATTTTCAATGCAAAAGTGATTTGATTTTTGAATGCCTATTTGACTATGTTCGGTGGCTGAGTCAAAGCATACTTCATAATGTTTTTGTTATTTTTATTTTCCTATGTTAGCAGTGGGAAAAAATGATGGTATTTACAAAAGTTTTATTTACGGAAAAATTACAAGAGCTAGAAATAAAACGCAAGAGGGTAATTTTGTTTAAAATAAAAAGTGGATCATAAAAAATTATTAAAAAAATGTTTTTACCAGTGGCGTACCACAATTTTCTTCGAAAAACCTTACGGTACAATCTGTACGCACGCTACTGAGTAACTTACAAAGTCAATCTTTTTCCTGTTACTCGGCGATTATCAAATTAAGCTAAGGCTAAAATTTCGTTCTATTATCTTATAATGTTCGAAAGTTATTGGAGAAAAACTAAAGTTTTTAGCGCCCTGTAGCTTGGAAAAGAAAACCCGTAGAGCATAACTTCATATGAGAAAAAAATTATTTTTTAAACCAAAAAATCCACCGTTTAATTTATTCCCAACCTTTACGTTACACCCAGTATATTATACCTACCCTAATATAGATAAAATCAGATAAAATATGTATGTTTCTAAGGAATCATACAGTATACAGTGTGTCCCACTATGGTGTCTTGAAGAGGAAAAGTTTTCATTTCCCACTTTCCCTCAAACTCATAAAAATGTTACAACTCCTCTAATTGTACTCAAGGGTGGTCAATTTTGTGAAAATTGATAGTAATATTAAGAAGGTTGCAGGTATGAATTGTGTATTGTTTTGTAAAAGAATTGTCATCTTATTCCACATCAGATAGGTAGCAGATACTCTCACGATTCTCGTAATTTTATCTAAACTGCTGACAAACTAAATAATTAATAAAAATTCTTTGAATTCCCCACTTGAAAGTGTAAATTATAAAAGTTTACAGATTTTAAATTATGAAATCCAGCTAGATATTATAAACATTGGAAACGGTATTGTTTTGTTTATTTTTTTATTTATTTCTTATAGGCAGTTGGAATTTTAGGAAATATCAAGAATGTACCAAGCAGCATTTAGAATTGAGAAGTACTTAACAATACATTCACAATTGAATTACTTGACGGGAAAATGTGGTCAAACTGTATGACCTCAAAGAAGCACGCATTTGAGGTCAATGGATTTTAATTAATTTATCATTTGTTACTTAATTTATGGCTTAATTGTAGGTATCATAAATGTCTCCAAGCCATCTAACTGATATGAAATGCTTTCATATTTTTTTACGAAACAATTGCATTTTAATATTTATATTCTTACAATTCTTTTATAAAACGATGGATTTTATATTTGTATAAGTATGTTATTTTCTTGTAAATCTATAAGTAAATAAAAAGTCTTTTCTCTTGACGATGCAATTGTGAGACACAACGAGATTCAGGGTAATTCGCAGCATATAAAAAAAGGAGATGATATAGAGCATTAAAAGGTGCTGAAGACAAGAAATATAATTTTTGACAATAACTCAAACATTAACGAACACTTTCGTTTATCATTATTTCATGTAATTAAAAAAATTAAATTACACTTTTCTGATTATTAACCAAAGGTCAAAAAACACTTTAATATCAAGGTAGACACTATTTTTGTGAACTGAAATAGTCAATACTTATTGACTAAAGTACCTAGTCTGATCCGCTAATGAAACCTCCACCTCCTGTATTTGGACTTCCAGAAACCGGACTTCCAGAATTCCAGAATTTGCCGTAGACACTACACTCATTGTCAGTATTATCCAATCACCCAACACTTGGTTATACAAAAACAAATCGGTTCTGTATGGACACCAGAAGTTCGATGCTTCAAAATCTGCTGCAACCATTTAGTGGTTTCTCTTTCGATGGGGTCCTGCAAAATAGTTTATTTGCAATAATGATATATTTAAAATCTTTTAATGAGCCAAGAAAATCGATTCGGTTATAAAATTACTTTTAAAGGCTATAGAAAATCATTACAATGGTTTTTAGTCATTCTTTTTCGCAATTGCTGTATTGTATGCAAAAAGAGATATACGTGTGAAAGGAAAAGGGATAACAAGAAATCCTCTACATAAATAATGCGAAAACAAAAAAAAAGGAATGCAAAGGGAAAAGACACTGTATTGAAAGGCTGCAGTGCGCCATAAAATAGTTTTATAAGTTCTGGACTTATTCGTAGCTGCCTTCACACATTTCGGTTTATACCATGCGCCCAAGTAGACTCCTTTGCTATAAATATGTGGTTCTTAGATTTACTTATCTGATATTTAGGTTTTACAGGTAGTTTTCTGGTGTTCACTGGAAGCTAAAGTATTGTTAAAGTTGAATGAGTCTTTGAATACTCGATATGCAATGATTATGTTTCCATTTGTTTCTAGGATTGCACCAAAGAGAAAACTACTAAATGCCGGGTTTTGACTATTTTCAGGAACGGTTTTTAATAATTTAAAAAGAACTAAACTTTAATGGAGTATTGCTCATGACAGATTGAGTTTCTGGGGACCAAATACATATAGGTATGGTCTTATTCGTGTAGAACACTTTTTAGTGTGTATCAATGAAAATCAAATATAGATCTCATGATGCGTCAAATTGCAAACATTTGTAAAATGTAAAATAAATGCCGTAACGTGTGGATGCCGCATATCGATCCATTCGAATGCAAGTCTTCACTTGCCAAATATTCATCAAAGATATTTGTATTTATATTTGAAGACGCTATACAATTTTCGCTCTTTTTGGGCAAATAATCTGCAAATATTTGATACATTTATGTTTAACAGATGTTTGGAGCTGGCATAACTATTATCAAATTACCTTGGCAAACATTTGAAATGCATTAGTAAATATTCCTTTGTTTTATTAGAAGGATTAACAGTAAATTCAATCTCAGTGAGATTCACCTTACCTTCGGAAATTAGAGACTAAAACATTGTAGATACTTTTAATCCATATAAATAAAAAAATGACATGAATTTACTTTCACTGAAATATTTCTTTTGTTACAGATTTTATTGGGATCTGTGCATGCTTCTGTTGCTCGTAGCGAATCTTATCATTTTACCAGTGGCAATAAGCTTTTTTAACGATGACCTGAGCACCCGCTGGATCGCCTTCAACTGTCTGTCCGATACCATATTTTTAATCGATATTGTTGTAAATTTTAGAACAGGTAAGTCCAACACAACCCCCTTTTAATCACCTAATTAAAATTAAACTATCATTAATTTGTCATAAGTATATCCAATGATAGACTTTGCAGAATTTATTTGGTTTACTTTTATCATGTTAATTCGAAATATGAGAGATTGAACTTGTCTGACTTTGTGTTGTAATAGTACAAATGTCTAATATTTTTCTTGGAAAGATCTCGTAAATTACACCGAACTTACTCATCATAGTTTACAAATTGTCTGTCTAAATTTCGTAATTAGTTGATTTGACTCTAATTAATTAATTTAAATGAACTCTCATTTTTTTTTGTAAAAATTATTCTATAATTACACGCTGTTATCAAACACGAGAAACTTTTATGTTAATCGTTATTATAATTTTCTTTAAATGACTTTGTCGTGTTTGAGTGATGTAAAGTAGTTCATGAACGACGTTCATATAAAGATAAAATTAAAAAAAATACATTCGTGGAAAAATGTACAATATACAGATTTATATAAAAAAATCTATAACAGTAGAAATAAGTATGTAGAATGCCTATATGTATTATTGCTTTAGAAATTTAATTTCAACACAAATTCGACTGCTGCAGTTATATTAAAAATATCATGTTGAAATGTTTATATATAGGGTGATTCCCTATATTTTGACCCCCCCTTTAACTTTTTTGTTTTAAGAGTTATTTTCTTAGTAAAAAAACCTTCTTTTCGTTTTTTGATATTATCTCGCTTATTGTTAGAGACGGGCACAACAAACCCTATATGACTATGCTCGACAGGGAACGTTCTATCCAAATATATAAAAATATACAGGGTGTTCCATTTAAATTAACAAAGCTAATATCCGCGGCCATTTTGTTTGGACTTCAATTGTTTTTCTACTATCATTTTCGAAAACTTCATAAAAATCGTGCAACTTTTGTATTTCATATCTTTTTATAACTCTTAAAACAGAAAAATTAATGGGGGGGGGGTCAAAATATAGTGAATCACCCTGTACCTACAACATTTCTCGTAACTTCTAGTCTAGTTACTATATTTGTTAACAACAAAAATACTGAAGTTAATATAACAAAAACTCAAAACACAGTGTACACGGAGTATCAGTGTCTTATGTTTAATACGTGAAATAACAATCAAAATAAACAAACTAGTATACAACAATTCACTCTATTCCTTAAAAAAAAATACAGTTTATATGAAACTTCAATATCAAATAAGGTTACAAGATAAAAACAATTAGGTACAGTAGTGGCTAAAAATGTTTCCTTTAATAATAAATTTATAACATGACCTAATTCTATGCAAAAATATGATAATAAGATATTTATCATTTGTAATGTTTTCAAATTATGTGTAAATCAAGTCTAACGATTCGGTAACACTGTCCTGTCTGGCATTAGCATTATGAATGATATTCAATTGTGACTCATAGTCATTCTGTTTTTTATTGTTTCCCGGATTGCGCTCTCTCGGCAAATTATCGATTAGCCATAGTTGAGATGTTAAATCAGTTTCAATTTGCCAGTTCATTAGAAAACAGTTGTTATTTATCATGTCTTTTGGTTGTTTATATTAATGTTATGGGAGAAAATTTTTTGGATAATTGAATTTCACGAATTTATGGGGAAACAGCATGCAACTCGTTAGCAACATAACGTACTTCTGAAAACGGGTATCCAGATAGATGTTTATGAGACATTACATTAGGTCATTTGTTGTGATGTCCCGGTATGTTCTAGATACCGTCAGTATTGTTCCTCTCCCTGGACGAAGACCACAACATAGGCCAGGAAATATAGAGTTGGACGCGACTTTTTATTTCGGCAAGCTGAATTTATCACTATAGATGCTAAATATTATGTACAATAACATAGTAGTTTCCACATATATTGCTGAAAAGTAAAAAAAATCTCAATTTTTTTAAGTCATGACGAGCTACGATTTCCATTTAAAAAAAATATAACTTTGGGTCATAACTCCGGAATCTTAAGAGCCACTAAAAATCTAATACCGGCATTCAATTATACGCCAAAGAATTAGTTTTGAGCAGTTTTCACTGCTACCTTATTTAAAAGCTGAGATACAGACATGATCAAAAGTGTCACAATAACGAGAAACGCCCTGTAACTCAGAAATAAATGAAAATAGCAAATTTCTGATTTGACAGTCGAGTTTGCCATGAAAATTGAGCTCGAGAACGTGGTGTCAGATTTATCATATCTTTAGTAGTTTCTGAGATACCCTGAAATCCCACCGAAAATGGACCAGCCTGTACAAAGTGACACATTAAAATCGTAACATACTAATAAATATATATGTATATATTTATTAATCGGTTTTCATCGTTCTTTTTTTAAAGATGAATACCAAAAACTGCACTTTTGGATAAAACATCAGATTTTTTTGAGCAGCAAAATTCAATAAATTCTATTAGCGATTTTTCTTGTATAACATCTAGATACCTCTGTACTCATCATCTCCTTAAATGAGTGTGTACCAAGTTTCATAAAAAAATACAAAATTTTAAAATTTTTGCAGAAAAATTTAGAAATAAATTGTTATGCAATTATTATTACAGATAAAGCAAACCATTAAATAAACATCAACATTCCATATCGTTCTCTAGTGTCACTTGGTGTAATTTGTTCGCATTGCTAGTAATATTATTAGAATCAATTATGTTTTCTGTTGTCATGTTTATTTCGTGGCTTACTTTGTTTGTATTAATAAACTTATATGTAAAGACCACAATTATATATTTTTTTTAAGAAATTTTTTGCACATCGATTTCTGAGGGGTATATTCAGATTTTAATGACAAAAAAAAATCGTTAATTTCTTCAACTTTAGTCCTCAAAAAATATTGCAATAGGCCCTGATTATAGAAACAGTCTAACGATTTGTTCCAATGTACAGTTTTTGGGGTTCTGTCTCTTAATTTGCATCAAAATGTTTAGGTTTGAAATATGTAGGTTTCTCCATATGAGTTTCTCCATTTATTTACTCTTATGGGTTTCTCTATATAACAAATGCGCGTTTAACAAAAGTTTGAGAACGCTGGCTTAAAAGATCCACATACACCGTGTCCACCTAGTGCGCGTAAGTCCAATATCTAGGTTAATAAAATATATAATTTATTTTTTTTTCTAAAGAGTTGCCTACATTCCCGAGCAGCACAAAATGAAAATATATTTGCATATACAGGGTGTTTTTCCTGGGCAGGTACCAACTTAATTTTTTTTAAATGGAAACCTATATTTTTTATGGCATTATCGAATTCTACGTGAAAAATTAACGGAACTTTGTGTTATGATCCCTATTAAAATATTGATAGTTTTCGAGATAGTCAACGTTTCATTTTTTTTCTTGTTTCGTCACTTCTAGTAGTTGACATAATTATGATTGTATGACAGCTAGAATTTTTTTTTCAGGAACTATAGAGTGAAGATGGCTCTTTCAAAAAACCTATCAAAAGTTGACGTGCGATATACAGGGGGAAAAAAATCGTGCCAAACCTGATAATTTAAAATTTGAAAAATTTCGACTTTTTCAAATAGAACAACCGGTGGTTTATGATTTCATTAGATGCCTTTCTGTAGACCCTACAATTTTTTAATAGCTTTCCCTATACTTAAGTTGCGTAGTTTTTGCAAAACACCAATTTTTATGTAAAATACCGGATTTGCGCCCGTTCCTTTGGCTGTAATGTGATTATTTTTTTGTTATTATACTTTTCCTATTACCTATTTATCTTTCAGGTTAGAGAACACCTAAATCACGTATATCTAAACCAGTGGTTAGGTCGTGGTAATCCAGTTCCTTGGCCCGCACGTTTACCTGACATAAATAGTTTGGACTTTTTCTTGTGGAGTTATATCAAGGAGCGAGTATACGAAGTACCACCAACGGATATTCTAGACTTAAAAGAAAAGATTCAAAACGAGTTTCTAACTATAACGCCTCAAATGTTAAGAAATGTCCACATTCATTTTCATCGTAGATTAATGCTTTGTGTGGAAAACAACGGTGGGCAGTTTGCGACTATAAGTATTCTTTTTTCAAAATTCTATTCATCCAAATTTTTTAATCTCCAATTTCACTAATAACTTTCCTAACTACGGTAACAGTGCTTGATTTTCAATATGATACGGATGAAACTTCTTCTTCGATATTGTCAAGCTTTTGAAAACTCCAAGGTTACTACTAATTTCCTGGCACTAATATTTGGATTTTCAACAGCAGACGCCACAACTTTAAACTAAATATTATCGTTGTTACTTTCATGTCTCCTGGTAGTTTTCTCATAATTCGCATTTGCTGTTCATTCAAACCTTTCCTTCACATTTTCAAAACAGTGGGAATCTCTGTAAATTTGGATTATTTGCTTTGTAAATACGTGCTGCTAGCAAACATTTCCCATATTTTGCTAATTCTTAATCACTTGTAGCGATTTTATGGTTTTTTGATTTTATTTACAAATAAATGGTAACTTTCCATAAAGACTTATTTATTAAACTCAAATATCTAAATTTTTCAGTTATTAATTTTTATTTTAAATAGTGTAGCTAGACAACTAATAAATTTAATAAAAATAAATACCCTTACAATATTTTTCCCGACAAAGGAACGGGCGCAAATCCGGTATTTTACATAAAAATGTTTTTTTTTTCAAAAACTACGCAACTTAGGTATAGGGAAAGCTATTAAAAAATTGTAGGGTCTACAGAAAGGCATCTAATGAAATCATAAAACACAGGGTGTTCTATTTGAAAAAGTCGAGATTTTTCAAATTTTAAATTATCAGGTTTGGCACGATTTTTTTTGCCCCCTGTATATCGCAGGTCAACTTTTGATACGTTTTTTGAAAGAGCCATCTTCACTCTACAGTTCCTGAAAAAAAAAAATTTCTAGCTGTCATACAATCATAATTATGTCAACTACTAGAAGTGACGAAACATAAGAAAAAAAAATGAAAAGTCGATTATCTCGAAAACTATCAATATTTTAATAGGGATCATAACACAAAGTCCCGTTAATTTTTCACGTAGAATTCGATAATGCTATAACACCCTGTATATGCAAATATATTTTCATTTTGTGCAGCTCGGGAAAGTAGGCAACTCTGTAGAAAAAAAAATTAAGTTATATCTTTTATTAACCTAGATATTGGACTTACGCGCACTAGGTGGACACGGTGTATAATCTGAACTAACCCTTCCTCGGAAACTTTTATTTCATAGATTTTCTATTTAACAAATATTTAATTGTTTATTACATTTCAGGTATAATGCAGCAAGATAATGCCGAACAAGTTATCCTAGATCCAAAACTGATAGCCAAGCACTACCTGAGGACGTGGTTCTTCCTCGATCTAATTTCGTCCATTCCTCTAGACTATATATTTTTAATATTTAATCAAGTAAGTGGAGTTTAATATTATCAGTGGGATGTACCGCATGATTATGCACGTGTCACATTATCTTTAAAATACCCTGGAATAACCTGTTCTTTATGTAACCTTTTTCAGATAGCGCAACATATTAAGTAATGATGAACTAAAACAATAAATAATTAATTAAAATGGACATTAAGATGCTTTATCTGTTTCCGAAGCAAGTTCAAGAGTAATTATTAATCTTGGAAAAATATTTATGTCTATCATTCTTAGTAAAGCACATGCAAATGTTTTTGTTTATTATATTTTTATCAAAATGTTAACATCAATAGAAATGTATTGCATTTTTCTATAGATTTATTTTGGGAAGTTCCTATAAAATGACAAATTGTCATTTTTTTTTTCGTAGAATACAGAAATTAGTACAAAATCTATATTGTTCATTGTTTAAAAGTCACAGAGAATACTCTTGTTACTTGGGCATTTAAAAAGCAATTTAATATTAAAAATTGTACGAAATTGAGTAGCTGAGATTCCCGTTAACTTTATTATTATGTTTTAATTAGCGATGTGACAAAAGTATCTAAAAAAAAGAAACACTAAATTAGTTCAGGAAGACTTTTCCTGGATATCAGAAGATTCCATGTGGTCTGAGTAGGCTGAGACAATCCCAAAAACTATGGTAGTGTATGTAATAGAATGGGATGTGAAAGCCTTAAAACTACCAAACTTTTAAGACTATTTGTCTCTTATCAAAACAAAAAAAGAAGATTTCTAAGGACTCTGTTCTGTTATATCTCAAAAATCGGAAGCGGAACATATTTTTTGATGATTAGTTACTGAAGAACTATGGAAAATATAAGGTTTGTTTTGATTCCGATAGAGAACAACTCTAGGATGATTAAATTTTCTTAACATTCCATCCATAAGAACATCTGAACGAAGTCGTATTGACATATAGTTGGATAGCTATTCTGTTCTGTTCTAAAACCATTTTTAACGGAACCAAAATAAGCGTATTACAGACTTAAAACTTGAAATAATATATAAAAAATTTGACCAGAAATTAACCCTAAACGTTGGAAGTGTCAAATGTCAAATACATAGGTAATGTTAAAAATAATTTTTATGGTTTTGGTTGAACCATTTGCAATTAAAACTAATTCTTTTTTCATAGAATTACAGTTAAAACTACAAAGCCATAACGATGTCAGGAGAATTGTTTAATAGTGCAAAGCAGAATAATTACAAAAAATTTTAGCTTATGAAAAATAGGCAGATGAATAAATTCAACCTTTCCATAATTACGAGCCTCTAAAAAATTTGAGCAAACAGACCTTTTCACTGAGAGAGCTCCCCTCTTGGAAATTACTTTGTAATTCGTTTTATAATTTAAACTTAAGACTATGTCGGTCTGAATGCCTATTCTTGAACTCTACATTCATCAAAATTCAGAAAAAATCCGGCATTCAATCGCTGGTGATTTATGTGCCGGTTGGTATAAGGGTCTTTAGGGCAACAAAATACATATTATATTATTCTCCGGAGATTTTCCAGAAACGCTTCAACGTCGTCTAATTCTGTAGTCTGTAGGTACCTTCCTGGAAAGCTGGTTCAGGAAAATAGAGCAAACATTATCGGGAATTCCTTTGTAACTAGAAATTCCTGCATGCATGGTGAACTTCATATACTTTGTGAAAGTTTCATTTCTGAAAAATATAGAGGCCCACCGCACAGGAAATTGTGGCAAACTAGACCTTTAACCACGAAATAGATAAACCAACATAAATCTGTTTTAACTAAAAGCAGTAGATATAAGTTATAGAGGACAGGTATCTGTCTATTTTAAGTTAAAATAAAATTAAAAACAATATAAGAATCTGTTTCACAATACTCTCAAAATTGTTTGATTATTCTTTTTTTGCAGATTAATATACTATACAAGGTGTCCTAGAAAGATTAGACATCGTTCAACTGTAGAGTCCTAAGATTGAAATGAGACAATTTGATAGGAATTAATAAAGTCGGATTGGGGCAAGAAAATCAGGGTGTTGATTATCTGACTAATAGACTATAAATTATAATAAAGAGATACGAATATCGACAAACATAATTTAAAAACATTAAAGTATTTAAAAAAAACATGTTCCAATACTTTTAGAAACAAGCACACACATTAAAATTGTTAATTAAATTGTTCATTAACGCTACATAATAAAAGAAAGGAAGAAAATAAGAATTAAAATATATTCAAAAAGGGAGAATAATAGCAATCTTACTAATTGTAAGTGAGATGAAACCACTGCAATGTCAATTGTCCTTAAACTGCATAATGTATGTATGAAGTTGTCAGTTTGTGATAAGGCAATTAATAAAAACTAAAAAATTCAACAGGAAAAGGATAATGCACTCGTTGTTGTCATTTGATTACCATTTAATAAATTTATTAACAGTGCCGTTGTAGATTGTACTTAAATTATCTGTATCTGATGATTTTTTTGTCTATGGTATTATTGTATGATTATGTACAAAGTTATTAACTAATTCATAATTAATTATAATTAAAAATATGTCTTGTCTAAAATGACGAGATGGCAATCTGTTTGTTCTGTTTTGTTTATATGTTTAGGATTACAGGACGATTTAGGTGACCAGTAATTTTGTTTGAAACAGTAATTTTAATTCCTTCATGTTTGCAATGAAAATTAAAAATTATAAAAGCAATAATTTTCTATTCAACCAATCAGCTATCGTATTATTTCGAGTGCAGACGTAACGGTTTGTGATTGTTCATCATAAATCTTGGTGACGTTGACGCTAAGATTTGAGATTTTTAGTTGACAGTACCAGCCATGCAATGTTCGTTGCCTAAGCTCGGCAGTCACGTGGCTGGTAAACATTTATGAAGGCTCCGTATTTTGTTTTTCTTGTCCGATATAGATTTCTGAACTATTAATAACATTGAATTCCATAAACATGGAACAGATATGATTTTTCAAGTTTATCTTTCATTGAAGAATACAAATATTCTACCGTATGTTAAAGATTCTTCAGAAAAATTAAGAATGATTTTAAATAATGATAATTTACAGTTGTTTTTTATAATAGCAGCACGGTATTTATATTTATAGTAAGCGATGGGAGTCTATGTTGAGCGATATCTCAATCTTGCTGAGGCATCCTGTATAGAAATTTCAATAAAGGAAAGAATATTATATGTAAAAATAATGTACATAATTAATTATTATTACAGGAAAAACTATAAAATAAATTATAATTATTTATATATCAACAAAATATTAAAGATGAACTCTTATACAGTATGTTTTTATATACTCAGATTTTATATTTGAAATATCTTGTCTAACCTATCTTGTATAGTAAAATGGTCAGCATTTTCTGAAAGCAGACTAATTAATTGAAATTAGAAAATGCGATAGAACTGGTCACTCAGCTACTACCAATTTAGTTAGAGAACTATCAGTTCTCATTTAATTATTGTTATTCCATAATTTTAAATAATGAACCTATTTAGTACTATTTTGATTATCTTAAACGTAAATTGTTCAGTATTGTGTAATGTAGGTACTATTCAAATCATCCAGAGTAGTTTCCGAAGCGAAATCTGATTTATTAAAAATATTGCAAGTAATTCCAAAGTTATTCATTTTCAATTCAATAAAGAGATACTTTTTTCAAATTAGGTTAACAACTTCTATTTTAAATTTTCCAAGTTGTTGTGATATAATGGCATATTTGAAAATACGAGGCATATCCACAAAATTATAGTAGTACTGAGACTCCGATGCTCCGTGGTTTTAGTTTTCGACAAACACTGCGTTCAAGGTCAACGTGTTGAGAGCAGAAAGCGTGTTAACTTGTTTCAGTCAGTTCAGAACTGTTGTTGTCGTGACACTTGTTGAAATGAGTGCCGCTATTCCGAAACCCGTTATTTGCAAGGTGAGGAGCATAATCCTGTTTCTTCTTACAAAGGGAAAGACGTCGTTCTAAATTTTTTACGAAATCAAAATTGTTTATGGGGATGGTGTGATGAATCTTATTAATGTATATGGCGTCGTGAATATAAACCTGGCAGAACTAATGTTCATGATGAACAAAAGAGTGGGTGTCTCTCAGTCGTTACTGAGATGAACGCGGTGTTTCCATAAATCTCCAGATCTCTGCATGAAATCGTTACTGAAACTGGAACACTTGCTTATAGAAAATCGGGTGCAAGGTGGGTACCAAAATAGTTCACGGATCAACATAAAGCCAATAGAATCGCCTCTTCGCGGTGATTTCTCGAGCGCTTCGACTTGAAAGTGAACATTCCATGACTGTATTGTGATTGGCGACCAAACGTGGATGGACTACTACACCCCTAAGATGAAATGACAATCAATGCAGTGCCGACATCCCAAAATCGTTGTTTCGATCCGAAAATGGTCACTATGTTGTGGGACCGTAAAGGGATTTTCTCATTGACTTTTTGATCCAGGGAGAAACAATTAATGCTTTGCGGTACTGTGAAACCCTGAAAACACTACGAAAGGCGATAAAGAATAATAGAAGGGGTATGTTAACGAAGGGAGTGTACTTGTTGCATGGCAATGCACGTCCTCACACAGTCAATTCCACAAAGCAACTCTTGGATTCATTCGGTTGGAACATCAACCACACCGCTCACAGTCCTGACCTGGCACCTTCTGATTTTCATCTTTTCTCTTCTTTGAAGGTGTTTATAGGTGGAAAAAGTTTTTCTACAAATAATAGACTCAAGGGACGACGAGAGATTTTTTTGACGAAGGAATTAGAAAGCTCATCCCTCGGCTCACAAAGTGCATTCAGGTTGAATGCAACTACCTCGAAAAATAGTGATCGATGCCGTTTCTATTTTTAAAAATTGAGTAGGTACTCTTATTTTGTGGATATGTCTAGTAGACTAAAAGCAACATGTGTTCATAAGTGTTACCAAGATGGTACACTGTATGATAAATAGAAGTAAACCTAAATATTTTATAGAA